ATGCATCGGTTCCAGAGCACCTTGACGTTTCGGTCGATACAGGTGGCGTCATAGGCTGCGCCGAAGGCCGACGGCTGCTGTAGGTCACGCCATATATTGCGCCAACGGGTGTGCCATAGGTTGGCGACGTAGACTGCACCATCGGTTGCGCCGCAGGGTGCGCATCACACAGGTTGCGCGACAGGTTCGCACGGCGCGCCCTCGGCACCACGAGTTGCCCCGCTCTGCCCGCTCTGTGCCACAGGTTGCGCCAGAGGTTGCACACGGCGCTCCGAATCTGGGCTTGCTCCGTGTCGCCCATGTTGCAAGATGGGCAATCTTTTGCGCCCTTGCTCGGCCTGCGCAATGCATGCCCTCCGAATCATGGGCTGCCCTCCACTCCCCCCCTCTCCCCCTCTCTCTGGAGCCCTTGCCCCTCCTTCTCCTCTTCCTCCTCCTCCTCCTCCTCCTCCTCCTCCTCCTCAGCGCGAGCTTGGATTGCATCGATTCGAAAGGCACGGACGCGAACTGACATGACAGGCAGACGGGCCCGAGTGGCATCAAGCACATGCGGGCGGCTGTCCATTCGGAGGATCTCCCCCCCCTTCTCCGTCCAGGTCAGCACTCCCAGAATTGGGCTGCGCCGATCGGCTCGAGGCCTTACAGGGTCTGATTTTGGCGAATGCTTCAATCGGGTAGCCCACCTTGCGGGCAATTTTGGCGAGTGGGGTGTGCATGGCGAATTTTGTGTGTTTTCCTTGTGCATGGAGCCAGCGCCTCTTGGGAACTATTCGGCATGCCTTGGGGGGGTTCTTGGGCCGTCCTGGACGCTTTGTTACGAACGATGTGGCGATGGTCGCAAAGATCACAACAGCCGACGGGATTTGCAAGGACATGAAGAGCACACAACAACAGCTGCTGTTGTGCGATCTTCGTATCGGCTGAATCCCCAACCTAAATGATTCAGGTTTGAACAACCTCAGGGGTTCAGCCTACAGTCGAGGCCCATGCCACGAAACACCCTGCTTGCCTCCAGGGTGCCCTGGGTTTCTTGGTGTTCGATGGTTTTGCCATGGACAACGGGACGGCCCCACGCCAAACGTCAATGGACGACCCGAGGTCTCAGGGTTGGGTTTCGTGTGGAAGGTTTCTTGTGGACGGGCCCCTCCAGTGGGTTGTGAAACAACCTGAGTGATTCAGGTTGGACAGCCTCCGGGGTTCCGCCTATTTGGGTCTCCCCGGCCGGCCCCCGTGGCCTCCCGGGCGGTCCGCGAGGCCCACCCGAGGGTGCCGACGTGGGCCGAGGCTGGCACCGCGCGGGCTTCGGGCAGGCCCGGGTGGCTGGCTCCACCACGGCCAAAAGCTGGCCCCTGGATCGCCCGAGTCACTGCTCGGAGAGAGGGGGAAGGGGAGGGGGGCGCTCCCCTCCTCTACAGGTAGAGTTCAGTCGGGCCTGTCCTCCTACAGGGGGGTTTGGGACGAACAACAGAAGATGCTCAAAAAAACAAAATCGTCCCCATATCATTTGTTTGACTATTCTTGAGTATTTCTCCTGTAGAGGGACGTGCCCGACTTAAATGTAGAGGGGAGGGGGGGGGGCGCGCCCCTCCCCCAGGAGCCCTCCGCCTCCCCCCCCCCGACCCTCCCTCCCCCCCCCAAAGAACCCCCTGCCCAGACCCCCGCCCTGGCGGGGCAGGGACCGGAGGTGAGTGGCGCTCCCTCGGCCCGATGACGACCTGAGCCGGTTCGCCTCGGGCTGCCACGGGGGGAGAGCCTTGAATGGGAATGGGGGGGAAAGCTTCGAGATGGGGGGGAAGCTCAGACGGCCGCAGGGAAAGGGGGGAAGGATTTGAGTGGAGAAGCATCTCGCAGGGCCACGCTGGGACTACCTCCCCAGGACCCCCTCATACACGCCGACGGGGTCGGTGGACTCCTCATCCTCTCCATCATCCCCATTCTGCTTCTGAAGTATCTCCTCCTCCTCCTCCTCTTCCTCCTCCTCCTCCTCCATCCGCTCGTGCCGCTCCTCGATATCATCCAACTTCCCCCCCTCATTTTCTGGTGTCTACGTTCTCGTCGCCCCAGGGGTCCTTGATTTTCGCTCCGCTCTGCGGGCGCACTCCTGGGCGGCCATCCAGAGTTGTGCAGCGGCAGGCCGCTGCGTTTCTGTCGTGACGGGAGGCTATTTGTCCGTACCATTTGGAACGCCGACGAGTCGACCAGCGGCTGGCACACTGCTGGCGTGTCGGTGCAATGTTGTAGAGATTGCGGTCATCAAATCCAGCCGCGTTGTCAATCTCTGTGCGATCGCGAAAAATAAGCATCGCCACCATCGCCGTGACCACCAGCCCCTTTGGCCGCTCGTCGGCCACGGGACCCGCGTGCGTGGTCTCCGCCTTGGCCTCGGCAAGGCAGGACAACAGATCGTCATCGGCGCCGACGACGTCGTGCCGGCGCTGAGCTTCGTCATCGCGCTCGCGAGCCCGCGGCAGCTGCTGCACCGCCTCTGGGCGGTGCAGCCTTCCCGCGCGCGCGAGTGACTGAGCCTCGATGCCCCCCTGAGGTTCCCAAAGCGCGCCATGAGGGCTCCAAGAAGGTCCCAAGATCGGAGGCCTAGAGGTTGACACCGACACCAAGATCGGCGGTGTGCCTTCACCGAGGGAAGATGCTCCCGATCTCGGTGATGGTGGTAATTCTAAGTGGCCGACCTAGTACCACCAACCACCTGATCTCGGATCATCTTATCCCTGTGGAGGCAACCTCTTGTGTCGGTGTTGGTGCCCATGTCCAGGCCTCCAACAAGAGAGCTCTTACTCGCGAACAGGCCCACAAGACCACCTGCACTTGACGCCACGCTGGTCGCAAGGCCGCCCCAAGATGGCTCCCCGGGCTCCAAGTAGAGCCCACAGGAGCCCCCAAACGGCCCAACCTGAGCGCCAACAGGGCCCCAAGAGCAACCCAAGAGCGCTTCAAAAGAGTTCAGAGAGGCCCCACCTCAATCAGTAAATGCAAGGGTCCGACCAAGGTTTTCACTTGTACCTCATCCTCGTCGTCCTCGTCGTCCTCGTCGTTCTTGTCGTCGTCCTCGTCGTCCTTATCGTCGTCGTCGTCGTCGTCGTCGTCGTCGCCATCGTCGTGGTCGTCGCCGAAGCGGGCGCCCTTCTCTCCTCGGTTGGCCAGGGCTGGGCACCGCCCAGATTGCCAGCTTTCACAGGTCCGCAGGCAACGGGAGACGTGTCACACCGGGGGGCATGTGGAGGGGTAGTGAAGCCTTCCCGAAGGAGAAGACCCAGACCCCTTCGCGTTGTGAAACAATCAGGACGGGAGGATTTTCGCAATTTTCGGCCTACCGGGGCTCTCACTGGGCCCCAGGACCGTCGAAAAACGACTCAAGATGAAACACCGGTCCTGGGAAAGGGGTCCAGTCCTTTGGGGTCGACGTTGCGAAACAGTCACGACGTTGGGGGTGTGGGGAAGGGGGGTTGGAGGAGGAAGTGCGCTGAACCACTTACGTCCAGAGGGCTGGTGGCATAGATCGTGGTGAGAGAGAGAGAGAGAGAGAGAGAAGGGCGCATGCATTCCCCAAAGCAGCGCTTGCGCTAAGACGCTCTCGTGAGTGCTCGCGGCACTTGGCATGGGCCTCCGCCAGGTCAACGCCAGCAGCCGCTTCGGCGCCGATTCGTCGCCGCCTCGAGCGCCGGTCAGCGCTTTCAGGTTGCCGCCCGTTTGCCGCCCGCCGTCGCCGCCTCGTGGCCGCCTCGTGTGCATCCGACACCGCCTCGTGGCCCCCCGTCGCCGCCTCGTCGCCACTCAGTGGGCGCCTGGTGGCTGCCGTGTCGCCGTCTCGTGGACGCCCGTCGCCGCCCTGTCGCCGCCCTGTGTACTTCGCACCACAGTCACGCAGTTTGCATCACGTATCCTGCATCACATAGCTTACACCGCACAGCTGGCGCCGCACAGCTCACACCACTCAGCTTCCACCGCACAGTTCCAACGCGCAGCTTGCACATCATAGCGTTCACCATGTGGTCTACACCACATGGATTGCACCACATAGGTCACACAACAATGTTTGCACTAGAGACCTTTTACCACATACCTTCCATCACACAGCTTCAACCACATCGCTTCCACCACATTGCTTCCGCCTCATAGCTTGTTGCATCGCATGACATAATGACTTGTACCACATAGCTTGCACCACGTACAGTGCACCCGATACATTCCACCAAATAGCTTGCAGCACATAGCTTGTACCACATACCTTGTACCACATTGCTTGTACTACATTGCTTGCACCACATGCCTGACAACACATCGCTAGCATGACACAACTTGCAACTCATAGCTTACATCGAATGTGTTGCACACCATGCTTACATGTTATAGCTTGTGCAGCATTGCTGTCGCCCGTATCTGACACCACGTAGCTTCCACCTGTTATCTTCCTCCATGTCGCTTCCACCTGGTAGCTTACACCATATTGCTTGCACGCTTCCACCGAGTGGCTTGCAGCACATAGCTAACACCCACAGTGCACAGACCCACTGTCAGGGGTCCACGCTAGTAAGTGTATGTATATACTTGCAGGTTCCTACGTACACAGCGAGAGTGAAAGAGAGAGGGAGAGGGAGGAGAGAGAGAGAGAGATAATGAGGGAGAGAGGGAGATACGATAGATGAGAACGGAGCTGAGACACACACACACACACACATCGCGACACATATACATATATCTATATATACAATTATATATACACATGTATATATGTGGAAAATCAAATATGTATATTTATGCATCTATACTATGAGCATATGAATATGTATAGATATGTAGGTGCTAGAAGAATAATATCTGTACATGTGCATCGAGAGAGAGGAAGTGAGAAAGAGATAGAGAGAGGGAGAGAGAGAAAGAGACAGAACGCTATGGTCGCGCACCTCGTGATCTGTTGACCTGCACAGGCGCCCTTGCGAAATGGCATTGCCTTGCGGGAGAGAATAGCATGCGCGAGCCCGCAGGGGTACGATCTCGCATACAAGAAGTGCCTTGACATGCTGACGCCCTTGAAGGCATGGTCGATTACGGACTATAAAGACGTTGACCAGGTCGAGAAGTGCGTCAAGACGGAGGGGATGGAGAATCAGGAGGAGGAGGAGACGAGCAGGAGACGGAGGAGGAGGCCGAGACGAGCAATAGCTCAAGTGATATTCTGGAGCTGCTCGTCGTCGTTCTCCTCTTCCCACTCCTTAGTTTTTGCAATTTTCTGAGGTTTCTCTCCCTCTCTCTCATTCTCTCGCTTTTTCCCTCCCTCTCTCTCCCCTTCCCTCCACACACGGTTGCACACATGTAGGACGAGGGCCAGGGTAAACACAGCATGCACCAACGATACAGCAATACACCCTGGACCCTTGCGCCCCAAGTTTCCTCCTCACCGGTCCCTGCAACCGGTATCGTTTAACCGATCCCCATCCCCATCCCCATCCCCTTCGAGACCGCCACCCAAATTACCCCCCCCAGTTGCGGATACACCCCTCGAAATCCGAAGGGAACGACCTGTATCCCCATCCAGGGGGGTACATCGGCTGCTGGGGCCCAGCCCACGCCGCTGAAGGATACTCGTGTAAGCATGCTTCGTCGCTGCGCGAAGCGCTCCCTCTGAGAGGCACGGGCGCCCTCTGGGCCCGCATGCTGCGCGGTAGCGCTGCGTGGAGCACACGACGGGCCTCCGCCCTTCGAGCCATAGGGGATGCGGCAACTGAAGGTTCAAGATGCTGGGCCTGTTTCCCACCACCACCAGAAGGAGGAGGAGGAGGAGGAGGAGAAGGAGGAGGACTCCCTCCCCCTCCAACTTATGGTGGTGGTGGTGGTGGTGGAGAACAGGCCCATCAGCTACCCAACGACAGTCCTGCTCTGAAAAGGAATCGTAGACTACCGGTGTAGCTGTTGCATGCTTGCAGCCTGGTCATCGCGCCCGCCGCAGTCTCAACCGAGAGCCCCGTGTGGAAGTGGAGCCAGAAGCGCCTTCCAGACGTGCAACTGGCACATCATGATAGAATTGCGGCACTGCATGTTGGGAAAGTTTCCAGCGAGACCGCCATTTTGAAAAAGGAACCGTCGCCACCCATGTAGCACATTAGCAACAAGTGTGCGTGGCGCCAATGCGTGAATTCCACTTTGAGAACCACTCTACTGCCGTCGTTGTAATATGTTGTTTTGTAAGACGAGTTTGCGCGGCGCCAAGGCGAGAATCCAATTTGCAAAACCTACCGCTCCCCGTCAGCGCAGCGGTTATGTTTCTAAAAGACGAGGGCGCTCGACGCTTAGGCGAGAGCCTAATTGTGAAAACGATTCGCTCTGTATCCGTGTAGTCGTTGGAGACCTCAAGCTTCAAGTTCGTAGACGTTGGGAAGGTCTCAGGCGAAACGTCTGGCCCTGGTGACAATACGTCTGTTGGTGCGACAGGGAGGAATGAATTGCAAGAAGGAGGGATGAGGGACCGAGGAGGAGGAGGAGGAGGAGGAGGAGGAGGAGGAGGAGGAGGAGGAGGAGGAGGAGGAGGAGGAGGAGGAGGGGGATGGGGAGGAGGAGGAGGGAGAGGAGGAGAGGAGGATTCGATTCGGAACGATTGCGAACAATATCTATATGAGAGGAGGAAGAGGAGGAGGAAGAGGAGGAGGAGGAGGGGAGGAGGAGGAGGAGGAGGAGAGGAGGAGGGAGGGGGAGGAGGGGGAGGAGGAGGCGGAGGAGGAGGATTCGGATTCGTAACGATTGCGAGCAAATCTATTAATGGGAGGAGGAGGAGGAGGAGGACGAGGAGAAGGAGGAGGAGGAGGAGGAGGAAGAGAAGAGCAGGAGGAGGAGGAGGATGAGGAGGAGGAGGAGGAGGATGAGGAGGAGGACGCGGGCCAGTAAACCCAAGACGCATCAACGATGTTGCCGTCAACCCTCCCTCCAAGTTCCCTCTTCATAGGTCCCAATAAGAGTACATTCTCACTGCAGGAAATGCCCCGTTGGAAGACAGCCGCCTGAGAATGCTCAGCCATACCGAAACACCCAGCCCGGGACTTCAGCGCCGACAATCAACGTTACTGTTGCGCCTCGACGATCCCGAGTCGCGCTAGAACACCATTGCCATTGCTTGGATTTCCACACCGCGAATCAACGCGACTGTTGCGCCCTGAAACTATGGTGGGGGCGTTCGTTAAGGAACGTGCCCAGGCGGCTTCAGGCCCTGGAGGCTTCTTTATCTGATGAGGGCGGCAGTGATATCCATGGCCAATCCACGATTGGCTTTCCACTGGCTTCCAGACCCTGGATTCCTCTAAGGGTTTCCTGGTTCAATGCCCCCACTGTATTAAAGCGTGCCAGAATATCGTTTCTGGGGCGTCTGCCATCAGACGCCTTGAAACTGCTTAATCTGATAAACGTGTACGCGCGGCGGCCAAGGCCATAACCACATTTTCCACAGAGGCGCCGCTCCATCCGTGAGGCTTCTGCAGCCTTTTCAAGACGAGTGCGAGCGGCGCTAGAGCTACACATTGCTCTGTTCTAATCATTCGAACGTCTCAACTTTTTTGGGGCGAGGATCCTTTCATTTCTGGTTGTTCTGTCCTGGGCCTCTCCCTGGCCACTAAGGGCCCAGGAACAGTTAAAAACCAGCACAAATAGAAATGACCACGATTAGAAATAACGACGTGTACATTCTGAAAACGGCCCGGCCTCCATCCGGTGAAGCTCTTGCCAATTTACACAGCGTGTGCGCGCGCGCTAAGGCGATAGCCGCTTCTGGAACACCACCCGCCCCCCGCCTCCATCCGTGGAAGCTTCTGCGAACTTTGACGGGAAGTGTGTGCGTCGCTATGGCGAGAACCACATTGGGAAAACCACCCGCCCTCCATCCGTGAAGCTCTCGCAAACTTAAGACGAATGTGCGCGGCGGCTAACGCGAGAGCCACATTCTGATGCAAACTCACGCTCCCGTCCGCGAAGCTCTCGCGAACTTTCAGACGAATGTGCACGGCGCTAAGGCGAGAGACACATTTGAGGCCTGCCCGCCCTCCATCCGTGAAGCTCTTTCAACTTCTAAGCTCCAGGATTATACGTGGTGAGGAAGTCTCAGGCAAAGCGCCCGGCCGGCCCTACCAACAACTCTTGGGGTGCGACAGGAAGGAGTTGTTTATACGAAGAAGACATAAAGGAGGAATGGTGAGAGGAGGTGGAGGAGGAGGAGGAGCAGGAGGAGGAGGAGGAGGAGGAGGAGGAGGAGGAACAGTCTGAAAAAGAGACTGCGGAAGAGGACATGGGACCCGAAGCCGGGACCCGGAGGTCGGAACCCGAAACCTTCGACCCGCAGCGAGGACCCGAAGCGCGCCAGCTGAGACCCAGGACCTGGGACCTGGGATCCGTAGCGGGGACCCCACGCCTGGGATGACCTGGGACTCCCGGACCCGTGACCCGAAACCCGCGACCTGGCATTCGGGACTTCGTAGCCAGGACCCGTAGCCGGGGCTCGAAGCCTAGGGACCTGGGACCCGAAGCCCACGGCCGAGGACCCAGGACCCGGCGGGACCGTCGAGCTCTTGTTTTTCTTGTTGGAAAGCAGTAGTTGCCGACATTAAGTGCCCTTCAAGACGGCCGACGCTCCAACACATGGCCCACAGTCAAACACGGGTCCACCACTTGCCCGCACCCAACGAGGAAGCGGCCAGCATTGAAGGCCAGAACGCTGAGGAGGAGGAGGAGGAGGAGGAGGAGGAGGAGGGTAAGAAGGAACAGGAGGAGGAGGAGGAGGAGGAGCAGCAGGAGCAGGAGCAGGATCAGGAGGAGGAGGAGGAACGAGGGGGCAAGGGAGACTCCTCTTGGCGGTTCCGCGGCCAGCTGGCCACCGACGTGGCCGCGGCCCGAGGGGGGCGGGGGGTGGTGGAGGCCATCTCGGCCAAGCAGCTGGGCCTGGAGGGGCCGCTGGCCAAGCTGGTCGCGGAGGCGTGCGTCAAGGCCATGCCGCCCAGGCCCAGCAACTTCGACATCGACAACGTGCGCGTCGCGAAGGCTCGGCCCCGCGACTCGAAGAGGATACAGCTCGAGTAGGGGGTCGACTACAGAGTTTATTTATCCCCAACTTGATTTCCACCATCGAATCTACGACGAAGACGTAGAATGTGCGCAAATATATTGGGTTTATAGGTCTTTTCCGTAGGTTCGACGAGAGAACAACTGTTGGGGCAAATCAATTATATAGCCGATCCTTTATTCAAAACGCAGCGCAGGCATACACTCTCGGAGCTCCGCGTGGATCTCTTGGATCGGTGCTAGACCCACGCGCGAGGGAAGGGGGTCCAGCGCCAACCCAAGAAATCCACGCGGGCATCCGACAGCTTATGCCCATGCCGTGTTTTGTTCCTCTGGCGGCGGCAGCGGCGGTGGCGACGGCGATGGTGACGGCGATGCCCCCTCCCTCCCCCTCTTCCTCCTCCTCCTCCGTCTCCTCCTCCTCCTGCTGCTCCTCCTCCTCCTCCTCCTCCCAGAACCCCCTCGCGCCGTGAAGAAAGCACGGCGGCAGGTTTTTCGCAGTTTTCTCCCTCTGGGGGCCCTTGCCGGGCCCCGGGGCCGTCAAAAGACGATTCGGGATAAAGAACCGGTCCCGGGAAGGGGGTCCAGACCTCTGCGGGTCGACGTCATGGAGAAGTCAGGACGCCAGGGGTCTGTGGTGGAAGAACACGGGGGTCGGTGTCAGAGCGCCGGCTCTGGCAGGATGCTGCAGGGCCAGGGGTGCACCGACCCGGGCTTGGGCGCAGGACCCTGCAGGATCCTGCAGGATCTTGCAGGATTCTGCAAGGCTCGACTGGCCCTGGTCTGGACGGACCTGGGTCAGTAGATCCCCAGAAGGTCGAGGTTGATGGGCCTGTTTTCCACCACCACCACCATCATAAGTTGGGAGTGGGGAAGGAGTGGGGAAGGAGGAGGAGGAGGAGGAGGAAGAAGAAGAAGAGGAGGGGGAGGAAGACCCCCTCCCCCCCCAACTGATCGAGGTGGTGGTGGAAAACAGGCCCATCAGAGGTGGGTGCGGGGAGGGTGCTCCAACGTCGGGGGGCGAAGGACGGCGCGAGAGGAACTCTTCTGCCTTCGGGGACGCCTGCCCCCCGGGCGGCCGCAAAGGTTGTACCCCTACACGGTGCCACGTAGGGGTACGGACTTTCCAGGCGCCCTGGGGGCAGGCGTCCCCGACGGCGGAGCAGTTTATGCTGTACTGGTCGTCGCCCGCCAATGATGCTCTTCGTGCTTGTTGATTGTTCTTGTTCATCCTGGGGGAGGGCGCCCTCGAATGTTCTCCGGCTTGGCCGGCGGAGGGTCCTGATGTTCTTGGAGGACGTTCTTTTGTCCTAGGTCCAGCCGTGCGAAAAGAATGGGTACGAATACCGACAGGAATTCTTGTCCGTTTGGCACAGGACTGGCTGTCGGTTTCGCACTTGAGACAGACGGCCGCCTGCCCAACAGCGGCCGCTGTCGATTTTGGACAACATGTGTTGTTCGGCGTCGTACCCATTTCTTCCGTCCCTGAGATCAGACGTAGCGAACAAATGGCAACATCGTGAAAAGCCGCGCCTGGAGCCCCGGAGCCCATCTTTCTGCATCATTTTTCAAGCCGGATCGATCTGTGAGGGCCCTGGGGCCCGAAAAGAGGCGAAAACGCCCGTCTCGAAAAAATCGAGTCGCCAGGATCTCAGGGGTACCAATGTCGGGCGTCCAAATCCGGCAGTTTGTGCTCGCGCTGCTGACGTGCTCGTTCCGGCCGCGTGCAGCGATCCGCAGGCTGCGCCCTGCAGAGGCCAAAAGGCCTCTCTTGCCCCTGGAGGGGCGCGGGAGGAGTCGGAGGAGGAAGAGGAGGAGCACGCCGGGGGGGCGACGGCGTCGTGGCCATTTCTCGTGCCCACTGTCGTGCCCACTGTCTCCGTGCGAAGCGAGGGGAGGCGCCCAAGGGAGGGGGGGGGGAGGGGAGGCGAGGGGCGGGGAGGCCAGGGGAGGGGAGGTGAGGGACCCTCGCGTCGCGAGAGGCCCGACGACGGGAGGCTTCTTTTGGGGTCGTCTTCGGCCCCGGGGGGCCCTCCCAGGGCCCAGGGGCCGTCGGCAAACGATCCTACTCCTCGGGGTCCTCCTCCGCCTCCGCCTCCTCCTCCTCCTCGACCTCTTCGTCCTACCTACCCCTCCTCCCCTTCTTGCTCCTCCTCCATTTCCTCCTCCTCCGCCTCTCTTCTCTTTCCTGTCTTCTCCTCCTCCTCCTCCGGGCCCCAGGAAGCGGCCCAGACCTCTGGGGTCGCGCCATTGAAAGAATCATGACGTTGGGAGGGGAGGGGCGGATGAGGAGGAGCGGGAGGAGGAAGGTGTGACGGGCAGGGATCTCTGGGGGGTGGCTCGACGTGCTGGTTTGCTCCATTCCAGCCCCGACAAGGTATCCGATACGAGGGATCCTCCATCTTCAGATCCTGGATCTCCAATGGGTTTTGGCCAGCTATCCGAGCGCCATGCCAATGCGTCGTTCGTTTGGGGTGGACGCGGTTCGCAGGATCTTTACAGGCTGACCCCTCGGATCGGATATCCTGCTGGAGAGATAGCCACGGCCCGCCGCCGGAGACTGCGCGGCGGGAGCGGGCGCACCTCTTGAATATCTGCAGCAAGGGTTACTACGTAGTCGGACAATGCTCGCCCGAGACACGTGGGCCATCATCATCATCATCATCATCATCATCATCATCATCATCATCAGCATCATCATCATCATCAGCATCATCATCAGCATCATCATCATCATCATCATCATCATCAGCAGCAGCATCATCATCAGCATCATCATCATCATCATCATCACATCAGCATCAGCATCAGCATCATCAGCATCATCAGCATCATCATCAGCATCATCATCAGCATCATCATCAGCATCATGATGATGATGCTGATGATGATGATGATATGATGCTGATGATGATGATGATGATGATGATGATGATGAGGAGGAGGAGGAGGAGGAGGAGGAGGAGGAGGAAGAAGAAGAAGAAGAAGAGGAGGAGGAGGAGGATGATGATGATGATGATCATCATCATCATCATCAGGCTCGGCTTCAAGATGTCCAGCGAGATTATCTGTTCCATCCTGGCGTTTTCCCTCGACTGTTTTGTTGGCCTCTGGCCTGGGGGACCACGGCAAACGGGCGGAGGAGGAGGAGGAGGAGGAGGAGGAGGAGGAGGAGGAGGAGGAGGAGGGGGAGGAGGAGGAGGAGGAGGAGGAAGAGGAGGAGGAGGAGGAGGAGGAGGAGGAGGAGGAGGAGGAGGAGCCTGTCTGGGCACACGGAGCCCTCGCCATGCGCCCCCGTCCACGTGCGCAGCCGCCCGTGACGAAAACTTGCGCCCGAGGAAGGGGTCGGGACCTCCGTCTACTTGCAGGGGGATCTGGCTGCTTCGCGTCGGCCGTTGGCGACCCCGCCGCCAGCGTTCAACGTTGAGCGCCGCCAGCGACTCACAGTCAGCCCATCGTGGAATGCTCCGGCGTTTCTGAAACGGCCGATCGTTCAAGGCTGGACGATCCTCGCGGTGTCAGGAACCAGCGCCGCAGCCAGCACGACACGAACCTGCCGGAAGGAGGCGGGAGGGGAGGAGGGGAACGAGGGCGGAGGGGTGGCCAGGCCTATTGCAATCGCGGGATCCTTCTTCGCCACACCGGTTTCCCCCTTTCAGGCCGAGGCCCCTGCACTGGAGGAGTGCGCGGTGTTTTTGCAGAGGCTACGGGCGGGCTCGCGCGGCAGCGCAAGTGGTGCCGGAACAGCGCTGACTGGCTTTGAGCAGTGAATCGGCGCCACCCCACCATACTAATACCACGGTAGAGGGAAACAATTACTGAACATTCCCCCTCCCCCCCAAACTCAAAGTTGGCACGCGCGGGGGAGACTGCGGTCGAGGTGCAACTCATCGGACCCACCGCCAACTTTGAACATTGGGGGGAGGGGGAGGCGTTCACAGACGAATGTGGCATGAGTGTTCGCTATTTTTTTCGGAGGCCTGTATGTGTGCGTCGCCTCCCCCGGGGCGACGCGCGCACCGAGAAACCTTACAGTATATGCGTCGTGGCAGGCTCTTTCTGGCCACACCGCTCGGGAAACGATATGCTACGAGATGGGTATACTGTATGTTCGGGTCGGACGCGCCCCCCCGAGGAGGACGTATGGTACCAGTGTGTCTTTCCGCGTCCCAGTGAACGGTGATCGACAGCCGACCCCGGAGGCGTCTCGAGGGTCCAGCGCAGATCCGGGAGATCCGCGTGTAGCGCCAGCAGTTTATGTTATGCCGTGTTTCTTCTTACCTAACAGCGAAGACTGATAGGCCTCTAG